TTCTCTTAAGATTGATTCGGCAGCAATGGGGGAAGAGTTCAAAGATTTAGTAGTTGAAACTGGAATATCAGTAAAGAAATTTTCGAAAGGTGTAGCAACTTCAATATCTAAAGTAACCCTTTTATTATCTATATTTAAGTTATAATTATTATTGCGAGTTTTGGATTTTCCAGTTTCATCGTTTATAATATTCCATGTCGTTTTGATTTTGTCATTACTGTTCTTAATCTTTGAACTTAAGTAATTTGATTTTGCTAAGCGGCATACTTTTTTAAACAATTTAGAATAGTTACGAACATGCTCTTTAAATTTTTCACTAGTGTTAAAGTTTCTTTCATTATAAAGTTGATAAAGTGTCCTTCTACTTTTATGAATTCCAGGCGTAGCCCACTTAGTAAAAGTTACCGCATCATTAACACATATTTTTTTGGGTACAAAAACATTATTAAACTCAGTGCAGTATATATTAAAAAAAACATTATATAAATCATTTGGACTGTCTTTATATTTTAAATAACACATTTTTCTATCTAATTGAGTTTTAAAACGTTCCACACGATTAGACGATTTTGGTACAACAGTGATGTGTTTTTTTGTCACCTGCTTGAGCTGATATGGAAATGTAATCAACTGGCCACAATGATCACTATCTAACTGGTTGTTTTTCCACCTTGCCAGATTCGATAACCATCATCCTGTTCATATCCGATTAGACGCCCTTAGACAGCTTTATTGGACATTTTCTTACATTTCACTTTCGGTATGTGTGCATAGTATACGCTATCGATTATTCTCAAATGTGAAATCTTTGGTGTCTTACCATGCCTCAATTCGTGTGGGGATTTGCCTAAAGTCCTAGTTGGAGCGGCGCGATTTAATACATAGGACGCTGTGTTAACTAGCTCAGCCCAGAGTGCTTGTGGTAGCTCTTCTCGAGCGTGAAGCATCGACCTAGCTGCTTCTACTAGTGCTCTATTTTCTCGCTCGCTGCATCCGTTTTGTTGCGGTGTGTATGGCATTGTAAGCCCTTGCACGATGCCATATTTTATCAAAAATCTTTTTGACAGCCACATTATCAAATTCTCCACCGTTATCGTTTAGGGTGGTTTGTATTTTATGACCTACGGTTCTAGTTTCACTAAGCATCTGGATAAGTTTGTCTTCGGATTTGTGCTTCATTTTAAAGACCATTCTGTAGCTGCTGTAGTCATCTTTAAAGAGGACGTAGTAGCGAAGGTTAGAGATTCTTGGCTGGAAGGGTTCGCATACATCTGCGTGTACGAGCTCTCCCGTCGTGTTACCCATTCCCTTGTGCCGAATTTCAGTCTATGTGCCTTGCCGTAGACGCAACCATTGCAAAATGGCTTGTGGACAGGTAGATCAATGCCTAGTTCACGCTTGACGAGATTCCGAACGTGTCTTACATCTTGGTGTGCGAAGCGCTCGTGATATATCTGTAGAAGGTTTTCACCCGTGAGAGCATTTACCTCTAGAGTCCTTTTCGGCACCATCACTTTGAGATCAAGCTTGTAGAGTCCTCCTCTTGGTGATCTTCGGCCTCGCAATAGTGTAACATTATCCAGAGTCAGCGTGCACTGAGTTTGTTTAGATGTGAAGACATTATTGGGTTAATGCTGGTACGCTCCAAGTTCCATGCTCGTTTTTGTTGTCTTTGTCGTTGTGTTGTTTTTTTTAACGTACCTATTGTTGACATCCTTGGCACTTCCAGAATTGCATGCCATTAAAGTAATGTTAGTGACTTGTTCTCACGTAGTCGGGGAAGGCTTCGGAGGCTTGCCATCTCGTATCCATTTCTTGCAGTCATGGATGTGGTGACCGCTCTTACAGTAATTGCAAAAGCTTCCCTTTCTTTTCGAAGTATCGAATTTGCTCTTGACTACTAATGTCTCTTCTCTCGACTCTCCTGTGGACTTTTCGTTTAATTTTAATGTACTTTCAAATGTACAGAGGTGTGACGTAAAGTTGTCTACAAGTATCCTATTGGACTTGTAGGGAAAAAATCACTCATCCAGAGAGTCAACAATCTTACAAATTTCTACAGACGTACTAACTGTTAGACAATTGTATATAATGCACATAATTAAGCAGCATGCCGCACTCCCATACAACCCTGATATTACTAACAAAAGACAAAAGGATATGCTTGCCCTCAAAAAAAAATAATACTAAACATGCGTTCTCCTCTAGATTTTACCTATGTCAAGATTCATTTTCGTGATGATTAGAAAATCTTTATTAATGTCAACAAAAGGTACAACAATAATTACAAATTAAATATTTCATTGAGTTCGCCTGTGCGGGGCACGGTCCCCAGAAGACTGGCAGCGTAGCCTCGCTGTATCGCCAAACTAATTCGTTGAGCAAAAAAGCTACCAGATCTTGGGTCTCCCGTAGCCTCGCACAAGCGAGAGTCATAGAGCAGTCATATCCTTAAGAAATAATCTTGCAGCAGGGCCCCAAGGACCCATTGTCTCTACAGCAAAGCGCCCTTTATTACACTCAGCTGTTATAGCAGCTGCACAGGGTTAAACTGAGGTCGCATCAAGGTGACACGGGGCCAGAGTATCAACGCTTGTTGCATCCCAAACCAGACACCTTCCCATACTCCAAGGCATAAGTTACATACCATCTGGTCGTCTGCCATCCGAACGCAATACCCCAGATGGTTCATCAGTTTGGTGTACTGATTTATAATATTTATCCGCTGAATATTAAAACCACCAAAGTAATCCTACAAGAAACCCTTCAAATGATGCCATATGAAGATGCAGAGAACTTGATGACCTTTTTAAGTAAAATGTGATTAAATTAGCATATCATATTTATTAACGTTTAAATTAGATAAGTATATTTGTTTTCTGTTATTGTCTTTTTGATTGTGCTATTGATTATTTAAAGTAGATTTATATTAAGATCTTTTTACCTGAAAGACAGGACAAACCTAGTTCAGGCTGTGTGTGTGTAGTTTACTTTTAGTGATTGGCAAATTGACAAATGGAACATCATGTGAGAGGCAGAATAAAAAGTTCATATTAAGTAAATAGAGTAATATTACAGGCGCACTATAGAGATGCCATATTTATGGCACAGGTTGGGTCTAAGATGTTGTCAAATGCCACCTCATCGCCTAGTATAAAAACCCTTTCCACCTTATATGCGTTTTAAAGTTCAGTGCAGAGGAATTCTGCTTTTCTTTCTCTAAAAGGCCCCAGCGTTTTTATATTCTTTATCATAGTAAAGTGGCCTTATTTTGGACTAGTGGCCCGCCCTCGCTTTGCTTCGGTGTAGAGCTGTAGTGTAGACTATAGTTTTTATTCAAAGGCTTGTATTATACACAATGACCTTCTTCATAATAATTATAAACCTTCCATTCCAAGTAAAAAATTCGTTGCGTAGTTTAGGACCCGTTGTACCGAATGCAACATTGCTCTGCTGTTCTGATTTGAAAAGTTATTTTTGCATCGGACAGTGCATTTATCGAGGAAGGCTATAAGCTATATATTACCAGGCTATTGACCAGTAGCAGCGGAGCATCGATGAAAAATGTTGCAAAAACGGGTATAAATATTCCATTTGTCAGATTCCGTTGCGTGCGCTGGGTAAACAGTTAAAGTTACACAAAAATCATGTATGACGGAATTCTTCCCCTTTAGAAGTTCTGTAAAAAATCGCACGATAGCCTATGTCTATATTTTAAGTTCGACTCACTATAAACCTTTTTCTTCAAATTAATGCAGGTGAAACCTCAGGGGACCTTTATGTAGTTGTGATATAACTGTAATAGTGAGACATATGGTATCGCGGACTTTTTTTAGATATTATTATCGTCTATAAAACTTTAATACATTGTCAATGACTTACGCAGGGTACGCGATATAAGGCTATTATTTGGTATTTTTACACACGTTGGGTTACATTATCGAAGTTTTCATACAGAACCCTAACTTTTTTGAAAATACGCTATAGCCTATATTAATCAGTGATAATGTAGCATTCAAATGGTAAAAGAATTTTTAAAATCGATCCAGTACTTTTTGAACCAATTCGTTACAAACATACTTACATACAAATCTTTCCTATTTATAATATTAGTATAGATAAAAAAGTAAATTCATACAATATTTTCCTAAATAGTTAAGTAATAGATTTTTTTCTTGGTTTTATTGGAATAAACTCATAAATAAACCCTGCTTATGTAAGCATATGGGAGAAAGGAGTTAAAATATTACAGCACGATGAGTGTGGTTGTCGTAACTTCTTTATTCGCCGTAACAACTCTCTCTGCATCATCATTGTTTTGTAGCTAAATCTAAGCTCTTTGAGTACAACTACACCCCACCGGCTCCCACAATAGGATAGCACTTCGATAGGGTATATGTATATCATATTCAATATCCTTAATAGTCAAAATAATGTGGAGTTTGACAATTTAACGTAATAAAAAACCTGTTAATATAAATTAGGAGCTGGCGAACAAAACGGTATAATTACGCATCTGGTACTATTTTTTTTTTTACAGTCCGGAGGTTTCGGATCTGTTGAATTTGAATCTCAAATATTTTTCAATCAAAACCACCCAAAACAGTGGAAAAATTACTAAATTTATAAATTAAAAACCATGCCAAAAGCTCACTGTAGGTAAGTCATTCAGTTCTATACAGCTCCTGTAAAATTTAATTTTATGTAATTATACCGCTTAGTTCGTCTGCTCCTGAACTAATATCGCGGTGGTAATGTTACGGGGGCTCGACTGGTAATACACACTCAACACGAAGTGGAGTGCTACTATTGACAAGGTCTCACGTCGTCAGCTTATCACATGGCTATTAGTATTTGCTATTTGTAAACGGACAATAGCCTCTACTTCACAACCTGCTGCCAAAATGACAAATAGCAAATCGTAATAGCCATGTGCTAGCATTACCTTAAAATTAGAACTAAGACGGAAATATTAACACTTTTTCACTTTGTGGTTACAGGGTTGTTTGGAGAACGAGAGTGCAGCGCTCGGTTCCCTACAAAAGGGAGTAGTAGACGTCTTAGGGGCGGTAGTAGAATTAGTGGTTGGCGAAGAAAACGGTTCGCCTCGATGGCTAGTAAGAGTCCAAAGTCCGTCTATGTGTTCACCATTCGATATGGCGGCACCTTCCCGCGAATCGGCCTTAGAATGGCTATCAGCGATTAAAGAAGCAGCACATTCGGCTTCCGCTAGGTCCTTACAGCATAGAAAAATGGAAAGAACTTGGCGCATTGCTAAAGAAATGTCTGATTTAATAGTCTACTGCCGCTCGGTGGCCTTCAACCAGGAGCGACTCCGCACGCGAGGATTCATCTTCAACGAGATGTCCTCCTTCCCTGAGACAAAAGCCGAACGCCTAATGTGTCAACAGGAGAACCAGTTCTTCCTGAAATACCATGGCATCCAACTGAGCAGGATCTACCCAAAAGGCCAACGGATAGACTCTTCCAACTACAACCCGGTGGCGTTCTGGAACTCGGGCTCGCAAATGGTGGCGTTGAATTACCAAACTCCCGATAAGCCGATGCAGATCAACACGGGCAAGTTCAGGGAGAACGGGGGCTGCGGATTTATATTGAAGCCTGAGTTTATGATTCAAGATGGTTACAATCCGTACGATAAACGTAGCGTGGAGAGGAAAGTGAGGCCGGTTACAGTGATGCTGCGAGTGATCGGCGCGAGGCATCTCTGCAAGTCTGGAAGGGGCACGGCCAGTCCCTTTGTTGAAGTGGAACTGATCGGCGCTGAATACGACACCGGAGTCAAACTGGTCACAAAGACCATCGGTGAGTGGTTTCTCTTTATTACGTAGTATTAAACTCGAAAATAACCTCCACTTTTAAGAATACTGCAGTCAAATTACACTAAAGATTAAATGCCTCAAATTGTTTTATGGATATTAATTAGAATATTGCGCTCTAATAAAGTACATATTAATTAAAACTGAAGGATTTTTTTCATCGCCCAGAATTTATATAGCGGTCCCAATCTAGCGGGAGAGGAATAAGTCAAGGATGGCCTGTTCACCTTATGTGCTTTCGCTTTATGCCTAAACTGGACTGGACCGATTCCTATAAATTTTAGAAAGAAGACCCTGGAAAAATACACAAATTTTGTCTTGAATATGACATCTGTACCCTTTGTACGAACCAATATCAAATAGGGTATTTGACAAGTTTTAGAAAACGATCTCACGTTATTGACTAATGTTTATGGAGTCCGTAAAAAGATGGGATATTCATCATTCTGTTGTATTTGTTCATCATTTTGAAATACAATAAAAATAACCAAATCAAAAACTCCATTTTCAAGTTGCCGCGAAAACGTTTCTCTGGACAATATGGCGTCTTACTAGTGTGTGACGCCACACGACTGTTATTAAAACATCAAACTATACAATGTAATGTCACTTTTACCGGAAGTTTACTTGCGTGTGACGTCATTTTAGATTCCCCCAATCCCAAGCGTTTTTGGTCACGTGACAATAGATAAGAAAACTATTATCTTTTTCGTGGGTTTTTAGTAAAATTATATATAAAGTAATTATACTATATATTAAATATAAAGTGCCAATTGCTAGCATCTGTTAGAATGAATATTGGCAGGGGTTTTTACTAATTTTACAAAAAAAATATTCATAATTTATAAATAAATTAATTATATTATTAAATTTTAATGCTGTCAAATACCCTGTTAGAGTAGTTGAATTCGTCAAGAAGTTTTGTATGGAAGATTTTTAATTTTCGTTCCGTCCGTTGTGGCGCTGCTCATGTTGTGTGCTGTTTTTAGACGCTGTGTTTAGAAATATAAAGTGCCAATTGCTAGCATCTGTGTTTAGAATGAATATTGGCAGGGGTTTTTACTAATTTTACAAAAAAAAATCATAATTTTACTAAATTTAATATATTATTAAATTTTAATACTGTCAAATCCTATTAGAGTAGTTGAATTTGTCAAGAAGTTTTGTATGGAAGATTTTTAATTTTCGTTCCGTCCGTTGTGGCGCTGCTCAAATTTCCATACAAAATTTCTTGACTACAACTATTCGCATTCTATACTAGTTAATGCTAAGGTTAATCGTAATGGGTGAAATAAGCGAGGAAGGAAACCTATTGATCTGTAAACGTTTCTCAGGGGACAACGGTATCAATCCTAATTGGAACGACATATGCGAGTTCGAGGTGGCTACTCCCGAGCTGGCGTTACTCCGCTTTTTAGTGCAAGACGAGGATATGTTCGGAGACCCAAACTTCCTTGGACAAGCCACTTTACCATTGAAGTGTCTCCGTACTGGGTACCGCAGCGTGCCTTTATCAAACGCACACTCTGAAGAACTCGAGCTCTCCTCTCTACTTGTCCATCTCGCCCTTGTAGACAACTAGCTTATAAATCTACACACACCAAAAACACACACGAGTTTCAAATTTTCAAACGCCTTTCCATAATAATTGCGTGATAATAATCTAGTTATGCGTGTAATTCCAATTGATTTATAAAAAAAACTGTCTAGATACATTTAATATATCATTCGTATGTTTTATGTATATAAACTAATTTTCAAGTTGATGAATTTTAAAAAATTTTTTTTTAATATACATATCACCATGTAAATATGATTGTCGCGAATTTGTGATTTAGACTGAGATATTGAAAATTTTCTACTTTTTCCATTATATTCATATTTAGAAAAGGTAATATATAATTGATAATATTTATAATAATGGTATAACATAATAAACAGAAAAGTGCCTATCAATAAAATTTTATAAAACCTTTTTGTAAATATGGAAGTGAAGTTCTACTTTCATTCCCTTTTACAGTTAATATCATCGTTCTGAATACTATAGTAATTAAAATATGACTCGGTAAGAAACTAGAAAAGTATTTTCAAGAATTCAATAGTGATAAAAATGTTTTCTAACTAATTTCCATAAAGAAAAATCCCAACTATTTCAAGGTGTCATAAACACACTTGGATCTAAAGTTTATGGGGTTAATCGTGGTACTCTGTTGATGTGATACAACTTTTTAATGAGCTTATTCGATAGAACTCAGACATTTATTATCTTCGATCAACAATTCTAAGTTTATTATTTGTTGAATGCAAACTGGTGCTACTGTCTCAATTACCGATTGAGAATCAATAACCTTTTTTAGTTTCTTTAAAATAGACAGAAAAAGCTTAAATGTATTTAGTATCAAGAAAGATGTTTACAATAAAGTCTGCTACAGTACGTTGTAAAGTGCTACAAAACGCATTCGGATCGGACTCAGTGTTATCAGAACATGTTCTTACTCAGCAACTTTACTGTGACTGAGTATCTAAGTACTCACGAAATATAGAAAGCAGGGATACTATGACGATCCCATTTAGTTAAATAGGACCATTACAGTTTAAATTCCATACATTCGTTGTTTTTACTAAACTTATACGAGGCATGCTGCTCTGTTACTTATTATTACAGTTTATTATATTTGATTACAATTTGCTAATGAGTGGGTACTCAGCATAAAGTTGCGTAGCTTTAAATGATCAAGAACGAAACAAAGTTGAAAATGCTAGCACTGAAAAATCGATACTTACTTTAATTTCAAATATTAATAATTTTGAAAAAAATATATAAACAGTACCTACTTAGTCTTGTTATTTTTTTTGTTGGAACACATACACTGTCAACTTTGGAGCAACACTATTGAAAACCTCATGTAACAAAATAGGTGCTTATTGTGGCAACTCCATTTCCGATATTCTTCCGTTTAATTTGATTTTTCATTATAAGTGATCTTTGCACAGTTATCTTTTTAAATAATGGTAGAAAATATAAAATAAAAATTATATTATTATTATAAAAGTTTAATTATTTAAATTAGCGAAATGAAGCTTCTGAGACATTGTCATGTGTATTGAAAAAATGCGCACAAAAGCTTAGACTGTTGCTTAAACGATTTTTTTTTATATTAATTAATATAGTTGTTATAATGGTCGTAAAAATGTGATGACAAAATTATTGAATGAAGCTACTATATCATTATATTGATTTTAATTTAATTATAGTATACTGAAGTCGGAAATGCGTACCTAATTGGAACATAAAATCTATATTATAATGATCATTGAACATATTATTTCTATGAACACACATTAAAAAAGTTTAAGCAACCCGCAACATTTACTGAAAATTTATGTACTGTTAATTAATATGTATTTTTTTGGCTAAGAAGATTACTACATAATATTTATTGTTACTGTTTACTGATTTTATTAATAGAAACTTTCGATTGTGTTTATAATGGTACGGTATGAATATAAATAAAGAAATATTTCCAACACTGACACCAATTAGCCTAGCCCCAAGGTAAGCACTGTAAGGCTTGTGTTATAGGATACTAGGGTAACGGATAGAATACATATACTGTACATATATAAGTAGATTTAGATAGAAATACATATGAAACATCCATGACTGGAGTACAAATGCTCGTATTCATCACACAAACATCTGCCCCCACCGGATTCAATATAATTACAATTCAAAAGTTTAAAACCGTACTTTTATTGCTTAGACTTTTTTGATGAGTATATTAATATACCTATAGTTATTGATGGATGTGAAAGCCGAGGATTACAATTATTTTTATTGTAGAGTAAAAGTTACAATGTATTTTATGTCTATGGTATTGAATTGAGGTAGCTATCTTATCTCCAGATTTCAAGTACTAATTTCTGAATGTATATTATCTTTATTGAATACTAGCGGACCCGACAGACGTTGTCCTGTCTACACGTCTTTGTGAATCTAAACCATTCTCAGATCCCCTTGAACACACACAAAAATTTCATCAAAATCGGTCCAGTCGTTTAAGAGAAGTTCAGTGACATACACACTCACAGAAGAATTATATATATAAAGATAAGCTGTCAGATTTTATAATATTGAATTAATTAAACTTCTAAGTCTCATCTTTTAAAAAATATATTATGTTAATTATTTTGATATATTGTCTTTATATAGAAGAAAAATATATCTTAATTGAGAAATCATTATGAGCATAGAATATTTTTGTTGGAGGCCAAAATATATTTATGTGGGCAAAATAATATCCAAACGATTTTAGAACTATAACTGAAAATATCATATATATACGAGTATATATCATATCTTAGATTTAAATTATTAATTGTTTTGTAGTATTCGGTGTTTGATGTATTAGAGTAGGGAATCTGGTCTAGGCACGAATTGTATAAGGAGTTATTGCTACAGTAGTCCGATGACAGTGACAAGTGCAACAAACTCTAATCGCGCACTCTATTAATGATCACGTAAATAAATACAGCACCTTTAGCACGAACCACTGTCGAATTCGAATAGTTGAAATTGATCTCGGTACGCGTCAAATACTAAGAAGTTTTCTATGGAGGATTTTTAATTCTCGTTACGTCCGTCGTGGCGCTCTTCATATTTCTTCTTGACATTTGATGCGTATCGAGATCGAATTCTATATTGGTTCGCGTTAAGCTAAGAGTACTGGCTATAGTGTCTTTATAACTTAATTCTTTCGTTTTAGTTTGCTACAGTGTTTTACATTTGTAGTATAGTGCCGTCATCGGCGGGCGGGCAAGTCGAAATGGTTTCATGGCACACACCTCGTGTTTACGCTCGGTAAAGAATCTGTACCGAAACGACTCAGTGAGGAAGCTTTCGTTTAAATTAATTCTCTAAAATAAAAACGAAATTTTCCGCACCGGTGAGGAAAGTGCTTATGGCCGGTAAGGGACGCCCCACAGCCTCCGCATCTCTGTTCTGACCATAGAGAATGGGCTTAACATTTGCTGTTCAGGTTTAAGTAAAACTGGACAGAGAGACGAAGCGAATGTGGTGTCAATAGTTTGTATAAGTAACAGCTTGCACCATCACTTGCTAAGAGCGAGAACAATGGTCCATTCCACGGTCCTGAAAAAAAGACGGACGTAACTTCGTCTAATCGTGAGTGAAGCATGTCAATGGCCGCCGATTCACCACGTGTGCGTGATTTGAGGGTTGTCATATAAATCTTCAATTTCCTTACTTTTTAAATCTCGCAAAGCAAAACATTGTTAACATTATGTAATCAAATATATAACGGGATATTAACACTTTTTTTCGTTGTGGGCTCCCGATATTTCAGCAATTTAAATGGTTGCACTTCAGAAACAAAATGTTGGTCTATCAAATATTTTTTATGACCACATATTGTTGACATCGGCGGCTATTATTTATTCTTATGTTCGATTCTTTCAGTAAGAAATGTGTCGAGTCTAATTTCTTGTTTAACTTCTGTAAGAAAGCACTACCTATAGCAAATTCTCTTTTATTCTTAACTGAAATAAAATTATTTTTCATGATACCACTAATAGCTTATTTTCGCAGGCGCTTGTAAAATAAAATAACACCACTTTTATAAGTCGAATCAATAAAATAGAACGGTCGTCGTAACCAAAAACTCTTTGAAGTGTGCGGTAGCGGTAAGTCTTTCTGCGAATGTTGCTAACTTCCAAAAATGTTTACTCAAACTAAAGACTATAACTAGGGATTAGATTCTCCTAATTAATTATTTTAATTAAGTGGAAAAAGGCTTTACAATTAAAACATAATAATATATCCTTAAAAATCTCACCCCGTATTAATATTAACTATAATTTGGGGAAAATCTCGTGAGTTGGTAACACTGATTAATTCTCAGTGATTAATGCGTAAGGTAATTGCGTCTAATAAGGGCCGGGTTTTTGGAAATAGAAATAAATCAATGTTTGGAAGTGTGACAATTAGTACGACGTCATGATCAACCAAACTGTTTTTATTTGAAAAGAAAACGTTGCACAAAAACGACACACGAATGACCATTTATTTACAAAAAAAGTTTTTTAAAAGCTTGTTTATGGTCCTTATTGTGTACTAGGGCTCGAATTAAGGTCCATGATTGAACTGCAAGATTTCAGACGTTGAGTATCAAAAAAAATAAATCTTTAGATAGCAACGGCTTTAAACTACTTTCAACTTCATGGCTTTCCAATATTAAAACGGTAATTCATATAATTTAGTATTGTGGCCCTTATAAAGTCATACGAAATATATATAAGTTGTAACTTATATATTTTCTAGCTATAAATGAAACAAATTGAAGGTTTGTGCAAATTTTTATTAATTTTACGAAAGATAATCACTATAAGTTACTAATGAGTTATTTTTTCTTCTGAGTGAGTCTTAATCTTGGGACCTTATTAGGTATAACACTTATTTCATATAGTGTGGACCTTATTAAGTGTTTCTAACAGGTAACACGGTAACCACTGAACTTAAAGGTTCAGTGTGTATATACTTATCCTTATTAAATATATTTTCTATTCAGTAATCAAAATAAACGTATATAAATGCCACTTGTTAGGCCAGGCTGCTTATTTAAACTCATATAAGTCATTTATGTAACTGATCATGCCTATTTTAAAATATCGTAAACCAATAAGGGCCGGCCCTTATTTGTAGACAACAACTTGGACCTTCTTAGGCAATCACATGTGTCCTGAGAAAATGAAACAAAATTTATATAAATAAGCAATAATTTTAGTAACTTATCCCGTCAATCTACGTTCTGAAAGTATTTTAACATTACTATTGCAAAATTATTACATAACACCGAGTTTTATTATTGAAACAAAGCAAAATTGGATCAGAATATTTTATTCGTTCAGTCACGTCGACTGCACCTGAGGTTACACACAGAGCCACTGCCAAAATGGCCGGCGCGGAGGCAATGAACGTCGGTGCGCTTTTATGATTGGTTACTGGGGAGGCGCTGCGCAAAATCAGTTTTGGTTTAAATATTAAGTGCGGGAAGTTTGAAAAGATGGACCTTATTTGGAACCGGCCCTTTTTAGGCGCACTTACCTTAATCAAATACTAATAACAATTTCTTTAAAATATATGTCATTTTATTTTTCTATATATATCATATTTACAAATACCTAATTGTTTTGTTTATAAGAAATACTATGGAACAGGCTGGATTTAATGAAATGTTTAGTTTAGAATTTGTATGGTTTTCCTCAATGATATTTTATAACTATAGACATGTTAAGTTTATAGTAACTGCGTTTAAAAGCTGTTCCGAGTTCTAATCAAACTTCAAAAATTTTAATTGTTTTCTTGTGCATAGAGTTTCATTTATTAGTCGTAGAGTGGACACTTGATTGAAAAGTAAGAATTATAACATACTACATATGTAAGAAATAAAACATCTTATAAATGTAAATCACATTTATTAATTATTTAACAATTTTTTTTGTAGTGTATGTCCTTATTACAATATGCGTCAAGTCGCTCATCAAGTGAAACCGATAATCACGTAAGAGTTTTTAAGTCAACTTGAGCGTATGCATAATTATTCGCACAATACATTGTATTGTTTTAAAAATTTCGCTTCTGGTTCATTAATCTATGGCGCTACTTGTCGTCCTTGTCGTGTTGCAGTTGCCATCATATCCTCTACCCTTTTTTAACCGTCATGTGTATAGTTCAAGATTTCTTTTATTAATTCCAGTAAATGAAAAATGAAACTATGCCAAAATACAAATATGACGTTCTTTTATATACTATATACACTCCTACATTCTTATTTATCTTAGAAACATAGTTTTTCAATTTATCTTAGAAGCATAGTTTTTTTTTATTTCCTTGGCATTAAAATAATATTACTGACACGACACGGACACGTTTTGTTTCGCTCGCTGCTATTAGCCGACTAAATCATATTACGACAATTGTCTGAATTTGTCTGCAACAAATTGCGCTCGCTATTCTATCTACCTATATTGTATATTATGTAATATTATTATTCCTAAACAAACTTTGGATATTGGATTAGATTACATTGGTGTCGATTCTAGCATGATTCTCTAAACCTAAACTTAAATTTGACAGCAGTATATCCTTGTCATTCTCTATACAGAATGAAAAGGAGAGACTAATGTCAAATTTAGTTTTAAGTTTAGAGAATCACGCCAGAATTGGCACCACTGTATTCATTGTCATCCCATCAAAATGGATTTGAATGTGATTGTGGCCCTATGGCCTTGTTACATGGAATTTGCTTGGTGCTAAGAGGCCAAGCTGATCACATATTGGAAAGTTACGCTAACTTCACTATGATGAGTGACTATCAGTGAAGTTAGCCTTACTTTCTTAGTCATATATCTTAACAACAAAAATCATAAAAAAAGGCCTTCCTGTTAAAAAAATAAGATTGTAAATAACCTTAACCTAACGTAACAAACGAAAATGTTAAAATGTATTTTATTTTAAACTTGTGTTTTTATTATTGTATGTGTTAACGTAAGATGAAATGCGTGTTGTAACATGACATTGTAATGATGAACAGTAATTTTTGCTTTACTATTTTTTGAAATAGTTTTAAAGATTTTTATCTTATTCCAAACAATATGATTGTAGGAAATCATATATTGTTATAGTCTCTTTATCATACACTTGTTCTGCTTTTAAGCAATATATTTACATAATTATTAAAAACTTTACTAAGAAAAGTTCAAATCGATCGAGTAACGAGCTGTAAACACACACACATCACAAGTCTTTTTAATGAAAATGGTTATTTATTAATATAAAATCACGTTAATTCGAATTGACGGTAAATGATGTTTGATGTTGATTTGGTTATTTAATATAAAGAGTTATGTGAAGAGTGCTTACTACATAATACAAATGTCAAATATATAATATCAAATTAACAGACTTCCGTTGTCAAATGCTTCCAGGATATGAAATAAGCGTAGTGGCGCGTACGCCGTCTCTGGACCATTCCGGCATCATCCTCTAAACCCTTAACTCAATTTCACAATGTCAAATTCTACCATGCTCTACATAGAATAAAACTGCTGTCAATTAGATTTTAAGTTAAGAGATCTTTATCTAAGTCTACTTTTTATTTAAAATGAAATGAATCTTAAAACGGCATACCAGTCTGAAGTCGTAAATGTTTTATATATTTCGTTTTCTTGATATTATAACAATTATTATAGAAAGAGATATCTAAGATACATACTATGAGTGTTTTAAGCTTCACAAAGGAGCACTTTCGTTCAAGTAACCCCGCTTTAACTATACCTAAAATGAATATTAATAAATTATATAAGGATGTGCTAAATATTGCTGCAGCCAGTTTTAACCCTACCATTACGGTTGAAAATGAAGTGGAGGTTTGGAAATGCTTTTTATCAAATTAAAAATGAAAGTATCATTCGAGACTTTATATAGTTTTTTTTTTGTTTTATACCCTGTTCGCGGAAAAGAGTTGTGAAGTATTTTCTTTATCACACAATCGTTTGCAAAGGATGAAAAACTGCACACGTTAAAAACACGAAAGATGCCACTTTCATAGGCCAAAGTAACATCGGCAAAATACAACCCGTCCAATGACAGAAAAGCTTAGGTTTCTTCAGTACTAGCTCTTTTCCGTGAATAGAGTATGAATGAAAAATAGCCTGTTTTTTATTTCATTGTTTTATGTATCCATTAATACCTACATTGTGCACATTGTGATTATGGTCAGAAATAAAGGTTAAAACAAAAAGGAAAGATACGGCACTCGCGGCTCAAAAGTGATCCGCTTAAATTGTGGTGCATACCATAATTCGCTTTAGTCACAAGTAGGACATTCAAACACGCTGCATGTGCACTCAATATAACAGTATTGCGTATATTCTATGTTATAAAGATAAAACAATGCCTTCGATGCTTTTATAAAGAACACAAATACACCAAAGTCAAATAACAAATGTCTCAGCAACACTTTTCATTCGTAAAACTGTAAAATCATTTATTTTTCAAAAGTTTGTCGTAAATGTTTTGTACATAATTGCTATTTTGTTATCAAGAAAAAGACAAAAATACAGCTCAGTACAGACTGAAGCGGACTCAGACGTTTGCGTGTGCGTGTGTGAGAGTTGCTTATGTAGTTGTGTCAACTCATATTTTATTTGTTGCTAGTATGAGCGAACCGTATCTTCCGTTTTTTGTTAAGGTAAGGTAATAAAGGTTATTATAATGAATCATAGAGATTGGACAGAGCATTCTCACTCCAACTCTTGCAGTTTAACCGGGCCGATAAGTGTGTGAAAGATGAAGCGATCGATCGGCCAAATACTTCATAGACATTTGACTGCATCGTCACTTTCTGTCTTTCTAGCTAGAGAGCATAATAGAGGTTAGAGAGAAGGAAAACGATCGCTACGTACTAAAGCATTAGCCCGCCTGACCCTGAAAATTTGTAGAATTTATAGTTCATTTTTCAGCCACCAGCCGCGCTGCCGTCGGTAAGTAGTATCAGTGAAGTTAGCTGTTTATGAGTACAAGTAGATGAAGTTAGTTGAATATTGTAGAAATTTTCTTCGCGGCATTGGTCATTTCAAATTAGCCCGCTTTTATTGAGACAACTTGGCGATCGCAGCGCCTCACTTATTTTGTCCATATTTTGGGGACACTATTTTCTACAGCGATCGTTCTCCATATGTGGTACCTCCATGCTAGAGAGTATTCAATTTCATGTGGCAGGTCGCTCAGTCCATTCTCCATGTCTATGGTCTGAGAGAATACTGCAGACGCGTAATAAAATCTCTATTAAAATTTGTGTTGAAATGAGATCTGAATTATTTTATAAAAAAAATCAAGTAATTCCACTGAAATGTTATTAATTTATAATACCATGACTATGATGTCTCAATTTTATTATATTTTGATACAATTATTTTGTAGTTGTTCTGTGAAATGTCTGCATAATAAATGTATTTTAAGTGATAAGTATTGTATATATGAGTCTACTCTCTCCCCCTTATTAATAAACGTACAAGAAGCATAGTCACAGTGTTTTATTTATAGTCCAGGCAACGAAAAGGTATAGAGGGAAATGCTTGGAACACAATTTTTGACTTCGTAACTTTGTTAAGACTAGTTAAGAGGTAAACATAGCAAAAGTCCCCGCCCGTAGCCCTTAAGCCGTTGGGAAGGGGGGGGATTGAAGGTCCCATTTTTATGTTTTTCGCATATATCTCGGAAACTATGCATCCTAGTGACATAAGACTTTGACAAAAGTGAAAGCTGATTAAATTTGCTACAAGTCTTATTCAGTCAAAAAGTCTGTAATTATGGAAAAAAATGCTTCACATTTTTGCTCTATTTGACCGGATAACTCTTCAACAATGCCGGCCGTAGGGTTGTTGGTTCCACCAGTGAGCAGCATGCAGATTTCGGACAAGCCCGCCAAAACAAGGATGGAGCTGACATTGCCAAGCTCACCGATTGGTTTGAGAAAATTCCTCCCTTCCCAGAGACCAGAGACATTATCAAGTCACCAGAAATCCAGAAAGCAGCAGCGGTCTTTTCACACCCTTTCTCCACCACCGCTCAAGTACAAAAGGCAGGTGAAACCTGCATCTTAAGGTGGTATGGAGCTCCATGCCTACAGGTACAAGCCATTCTTGAAATCAGTGGCCACCATCAAGCCTGATATCTCTTGTCTTCCTCCCACCGAGGGAGCAGTAAAACAGCATTCCCAGGAAGTGGTGGCAATTTTTTTTTTCCATAATTACAGACTTTCAAGAGCAAATTTAATCAGCTTTCACTTTTGTCAAAGTCTCATGTCGCTAGGATGCATAGTTTCCGAGATATATGCGAAAAACCTAAAAATGGGACCTTCAATCCCCCCCCCCCCTCCCCCCTTCCCCCCGGCTTAAGGGCTACGGGCGGGGACTTTTGTGTTTACCTCCTAACTAGTCCTAACAAAGTTACGAAGTCAAAAATTGTGTTCCAAGCATTTCCCTCTATACCTGTTTTCGAGCATTCGTTGCCTGGACTATTACACACACGAGTAACATTTTGTAAATCGATTAATACAGACAAAACGCTGCCTCACTATTCAAAGGTTTTATTTGTTGTTTGTTTAGTAATAATGGGGTTATAGAATAAATGTTATGTTTGTTAGATGAATAAATAAATGGAATCTAAGAATTGTGTGTATAATTTAATGTTACTTAATATTTAGCTTATGTGCAGATGAACTTTTAGTAAGTTTATCCCTATTTCAAACTGTGTAGATATTTTCATTGGTGATGCTTTGTTTCTTCTGGCATATGCTCCACGAGGTAGGGGATTGGGTTTAGGCAAGACGGCAAGACTAAGATGGTTGGACGCAAAAATCTTTTATGTCACATCGCCAGATTTCACAACTGGAATCCATAACATTACACATCGTCAGGTACTGTGGAGTATTTTGCTACTCTTTGTTTGATACAGTTCAATGGTACAAAATTATTGTTCCAGATTTTTTTATCTAGCAGTTAATCCTTTAGCTATTCGCACTTGGCCCGCATAATGGGTGATGATCTCCCTATTCCATACATAGGGAAGGCCTGTGCCCCAGCAGTGGGGATATTAATAGGCTAATGATGATGACTGTTTGTAACAATAGAAACAGCTTAAATTTTAAAGGAACACTCATCATCTCCAATAGTCACACCACCTCGATTCACCGCAATTTAGCATTTGTTCGTTATTATCATGGACAGGATTTCGCTTATTGTTAGCTGCCAACTCATCGCTTATTCTGGTGCATTCTACGTTTTTTCTTGTGCTCCCAGTTTAGCACGGATATCACTTGAAATAAAAGAACTAATGCTAAACTTACTATACTTATATAAATGCGAGTGTGTCTATCGGAGTTGAGTTCGCTCAACGATGTAACCTGAACCGATTTAGATGATATTTGGCGAAGAGATAGTTTGTCTCCCGCGACAGAACATAGGATAGATTGGCCTCTATCTCTGAAATCGTCCTTGAAGGGGGAGGAATACTGTATGTTTGTATGGGAAACCAATATTTCCACTAGCGGGTACCCGATAGTATACTTCATAATAATTTTGATTTAATTAAACAGATGCACTCCCAGCATTTTTGATCATACTTATGAATTGATGAATTTATTATAATAATTGTTATACTCGTATTCGGGGTCAGCTAGCGTACACCCAGAGCACGAGTGGGGATTGTCGCGACGGATTCGGTCCAGCGGAGGCATCCGTCGATCCGATGCCGGGAGGACTGCATCGACCCACCGGCAAGAGAGACCCGTAGAAACGGCTGTCCCGCTGGCTGCCCCATCATAGCACGCATAATCTCGGGGAGGACCGTCGTGTCGGTTGTTGACCGGGGCGTGGGGTCCCGGCGGGTACACTTCCGTCCGGTGGGTCGGTGTATATAAGCAGTTACTCGGGAAAACGTGCCCACATATTTGCCTGACTTTGTCGCGACTAACTCCACTTGATTCACGTCTCTTGACCTCTTCTCATGATTGTAGCCCGTAAAACTAACTACTTGAGACAGCACGGCCAGGATTATTGTTTCTAACGGAGACACAAATACTTCCACCTGCTGACACAGGCTACCTCTACTATCCCGGCTACGTGCTTGAAAAATCCTTCAAAGCGAAAGTCGGCGTATGCCTGTATGTTCGGGTGGATATTGGTTGTCGCCGTTTGAGCTGCCTGGAAGACCCTCCTTCTCCATGTTAACGGTACATGTAGACTCTGGTCCTTTGGCCAGAGCCTTCTTTACTAGACCTTCTGCTTACGACTCATCATCAGGACTATTGAGTTATGGTTCGTACTCCATTAGGTTTATCTGATCAATGCCTGATATCTGCCAATGTGCCACAGACCAAAACCTCTCGACTATTGGTGGTCAAACGCAGGGTCTGGCACTATGGGTCGGCAGATTGGGATGGTATGCGAGCCTACTTTGTGTCCGTCCCTTGTAAGCAGCGCTGCTTCAGTGAAAAGGACCTATCGACTAGCGCCATTGCTATTACTGAGGAGATCGTAATGGGAATGGAGTACTACATTCATATTCTGATCTCATCAGAGTTGTAGGTAATAAAAAGATCTACAATTTTGTATCGACACTTTTTTCACATAACCTCAAAAGGTGATTGCTCAGCTCCCATACATGTTTGGCCTAAAGACCAAGAATCATGAAAAATTGTTTCCTAGATTCGAAATTATATATAAATTACTGTAGAAACCAATATTATTGACGGACACCCAGACAGAACTTCTATAAACCATATACACTGAACATATTAAAATAATAAAAAACAAATAAGTTATATAGTAAACTAGGGAAATCAAGCCAAGTACCGAAATTATGGATTAGATTCAGGTATATAGAGCATGTAGATTAACAGATAGTTGCCTGTTTTTAAAGTTAATGCATAAGAGAACTTTTAAAATCAGGTGTCATAATAAGGTACTCTGTGACAGAAACTGTGTGATGATTGTGAATGAGCCACAGATTAGAGAGAATTTTTAAACTCTCGTTAACCAAAGAAAGCTGAGAGATTTAGGTTCTATAGCCATATATTCAGTAGCTTCATTATTTTTGTTATGTTTTTAAGATAACCATATTTTAGATTTTTAGAGTATCACACCTTATAATTATTTTTATTTATTAATTTATAGTCAGGGACCGTAGGCCCATATATATATATATATATATATATATATATGTTAGACCTTAAAGTCTAACATATATACAGATTATAATGTGTTTATGGAGGTGTTTGGCGAAAAATGTATGGCAATAGACTTTATGATGTCGCCTACCATCTATAATAATTGAGCACATTTGCATCCAGTGAAAATGGTTTATAGTTGTGGATATTAATACCACAGTGTAATAAAAAAAATGATTTATTTTATCCATCTTTACAAAATAGATTTGTTTTCATGTTATATAAACAACTTCGATCAATCTTTGGCTGAATGTTACTACACCCATAGCCATTATAAATGATTCGTATGTTTTCCAAACCGGCAAAATTAAAAGTCCTTTTTACCCGACTGCGCAATGCAAGAGCGCGAAGCGCGACGCGCAAACAGGGTATAGTGTTTAACAGTCTATAGGTATATGTATGTTTGTTCCTTTATGGCACACTAGAGACCAAACGCGTGGACCGATTTTGATGATTTATACATCAATCGATTCGTCTTAATCATGGGAGTGCTACTAAAGATATGATAATAATCAAAAATTATGACTGAAAACTGGGCGCCATATTGTGAGAAAGAAAAAAAATAAGTTGCCGAAATATATCGTGTGGGATATCATTGTCTAGATAATCGAAAATCATGTTTTGGTTCCTTACACTATTTTTCATTTTATATGATTGTTTAGGATCTACAACGATTTAAAGTTGTATATTAACCACTTGTGCTTTTAATTTCAATCTTACGTTTGTATGGATCTTTGTAACTCTTTCACTCAAAAAATACTAAATGGAACTTGATCAAACTAACCAATAATAAAGCTCATACATAATAATAGCATATAGATTATAATTTATGTTGTTATTTGGTGAATTGGCCAAAATATAACAAATGTCACGTGAGATGGAAAAAATCTCCCATCTGCGAGCCATTTTAGCCTGCACTCCAAAAACAATAAAAGTTACATGAATATAATGTATGGTGGAATTGTATCTGTTATGTAGTTCTACAAAAAAATCCAGTACAGCATATATCTATTTTTAATGTGTAAACCATTATAGCTAAAATTGTGAATTAAAAATAAAATATTATTTGAAATAAATTTCCAAAATGCATATTTTGTATAAACAAATTATTTTTTATCAAAACAAATACTTTTATCGCTTTTGATATTTAAAGACGATAAACTTTGCCTTTTACTCTGTGTAATTTTGACAAATATTTAAAAAGTTACAACGATGTTACGATGAAAAAGTGATAGCGCGTTGTGCTATGCACGAATACGAGTATACTGCGGGAATGGCGGGAAAAGTGATGAATTTTGGTGTTTATAAACTTAGATAAAACCTAGGAGGAAAAGAAAAAAAAATGAGCTACTCACAGTATCTAATCCTATACGAAGTACAGTAGAGTCTCACTAATCCGGACCCCCGTTACTTCGATACACGTTGTAATCCGGACAGGCGAGATGATCACAGGTGGGATATATTACTGACTTTTTCAAAAACTAACTGTCACTTTTTTATTTCATGTGTAGTGCGCAAATTTCTTAGGTACAAGTTTGAATTTTTAAAAGTACATTTGTAAGCGTCACACGTATATATTCTTGCCTTAAGTTGCCTTAAAAATTTACTATATGAAACCCGCGTTAAAACGTGTTTTATTCCTATTAAAAAATTGCATACTATAATCTGGATGCCTCGATAATTCGGAAGGGGTCTTGTTTTTCCCTATCCGGATTAGCGAGACCCTACTGTACTTACAATAAAACTGTGACAAAGTTCCTTCTTATTAAAGGATGAAAAATAAGTTATCATAATAGGTAGGTATTTATATTTTTTAAATTTAATGAAAAACTGTGAATGAAACGGTTTTCAAAGTTTATTTTAACGATATTACTTCATATTATCCTGCAGATAATTCTGCAAAATTTGAATCAAATAATATAAAGTTTTATTGGTAAATCACCCCTCCTATCCCCCTACCCCTATAGATATTTCGATAATGTAGCTTAGAACCTAGGCCCCATCTATTTCTATAGGGAAATTCATCATAATCGATTTAGCTATTAGGGCGCGGAATCGTAACAAACAAACTCACTTTCGCATCTATAATATTATATTATACTAGTGATGCGCTCCGACATTGCATGGGCAAAATTTTTTTTAACGGGATAGAATATAGCCTATTTGTCCAGGCAACGAATGCTCAAAAACAGGTATAGAAGGAAATGCTTGGAACACAATTTTTGACTTCGTAACTTTGTTAGGACTAGTTAGGAGGTAAACATTCAAAAGTCCCCGCCCGAATTACGTAAATGGACGGAAGGAAGATCGCTTACGTAGCAACCACGGCTTACTACGATGCACCGACACCAAGGCCAAGCTGCCACGAGTTGCCGACGCTGCATTCTTATGCTGTTCAATTCATTAATATTTCGAAGGCATTCTGGTTCCGACCTCGAACC